CTTCCTGCTTCTGTCTGGAAGTGCAGCTGTCTTGGGCTGGGCAGCATTCCACCCTTCTCATGGCCTCTCTTGTGTCTCACCCTCCCTCTCATTCAAGCAAGCGTTGAGCTTAAGGCCGGGATGCTTCTTCTTTGGCACCTACCACCGCCTCCCCGGGGGTCTGTGGGGAGGGCATGGCCATCACGAGCTGACCGTGTCCAGGCCAGGACGCCCATGTGGGGAAGGACCGCGCGCTCAGTCCAGGGAGGCCTCCCCTGCCACGGCAAGTGGAGCCTCAGAGAGGCTGGTGGGGCGCTGACCCATGTGCGGGGTCACCTGTGTCCTGGTCACCAGGCACTGTGGGAAAGTAACAGGCTATGGTAGCCTTCCTGGGACCCAGCGTGCTGACACACAACGCATCTGAGCCTGCGTCATTCCTGTTAGGCCCAGTCACCAACACGGCGAGCCGGTGGCCCCTCGCCGGGTATCTGTGTCCCCACCGCCCAGCCTCCACTTACCCGCGAGCACCACAGGGCAGAACTTGGGCTGCCTGAGCCGAGCTATCAGGACACCCTGGGCCAGGTCCCGCGGCAAAGTTGCTGCCTCCCAGCAAGCTCAGATGCAGGAAGACGGCTGAGGCCCAGGCGGCCTGCGCCAGGGCAGGGCCCATATTCCTAGGAGGCCAAACCCCCACCACTTCAGGGCAGCAGAGCCAGACTTCCTATGAGAGGAAATGCAGGGAGAAGGGCCCCTCCCACACAGGGGGCACAGAGCCCAGAGTGCCCCGCGTCTCTCCTGCTGCCCTTCCTCTGGTCTTCCACGGCTGCTAGGAAACTCCCCAGAGCCAGCCACCCCCCTGCACATCCATCTCGGTGTCTGTGGTGACAGCCATGAGCATGTCTGTCCAAGGGGGGGGGAGGGGACATCCAGCACTGCCTTCAGCAAGCTCTTGGGGGTGTTCTGCACCAAAATAAGCTGTGTGGTGAGGTAGCTTCCATCTGCCCGCAGACCCTCACTGCCCTGGTCCGAGGTGTTAAACGAGTATATGAGAGCTGACATCCACAAGGGGGGGCCTGGCCACCGGCGGGTGGGGAGCTGGGCCCACTGGCCGGGCGCTGGCCTGGCAAGCGTGATGGCACCGGCAGGCGGGCCTGCATCGGGGCCTCTGGTGGTGTGTGTCTGTCTGTAATGGACGCCCCCAGGGCCCCTATCCCTGGGTTTTGCAGCACGGAGGTGTGCGCAATGGAGTCAAGGGTTTGTGGGGATCAGCCCATTCCCAGCTCCCTCCCACCGGAGGGGCCTGAGGTGTGGGTAGGTCCTACCCTGTGGTCTCTGACACACAGGCCGGTGAGGGTCCCCTGGGAGGCCCGGTGTCTACGGGGGGGGGTGTGCGAGGATGGGGTCTGCCCCCGCCCGCCGGCCCCCACCCACGCGCATCTCCCCCGCAGAGCTGTCGGTGGCCCAGTGTGCGCAGCGGCCGGTGGACGTGGTCTTCCTGCTGGACGGCTCGGAGCGGCTGGGCGAGCGGAACTTCCACAAGGCGCTGGGCTTTGTGGAGGAGGTGGCGCGGCGCCTGCCACTGGCTCAGGGGGACGCGGACCCTCTGCGTGCCCGCCTGGCGCTGCTGCAGTTCGGGGGTCCCCGCGAGCAGCGCGTGGTCTTCCCGCTGAGCTCCGACCCCGCGGCCATCCGCGAGGCGCTGGGCAGCGCCACCTACCTCAACTCCTTCTCGCACGTGGGCGCGGGCGTGGTGGGGGCCATCAATGACGTGGCCGGGCGCGCCCGCGGTGCCCGGCGCCTGGCCGAGCTCAACTTCGTCTTCCTCACCGACGGTGTCACCGGCAACCACAGCCTGGATGAGGCCGTGCACTCCATGCGCAAGCAGAACGTGGTGCCCACCGTGGTGGCCGTGGGCGGCGATGTGGACATGGACGTGCTCACCAAGATCGCCCTGGGGGACAGGGCAGCCATCTTCCGGGAGAAGGACTTCGACAGCCTGGTGCAGCCCGGCTTCTTCGACAGGTTCATCCGCTGGATCTGTTAGCGGCCGGCCCCCTCCCTGGTGCTCGGGCACGCTGGGCCTCCAGGCGGAGGAGAACCCTGCTCCCAAGGTCAGGACCGGAGGACCCTGCGCCCCAGACCCTGACCCCTGTGGCTTTCTGATGTGCCCCTCCCCTCCATCTTGCCCACACAGCTCGAGCCTGTGAGAGCTGCAGCGGCCCCCAGGACCCACTTTCCCGGTCCCTGTCTCTGCTACCCAGCTCCGGCCGCCCTCCCTCACCCTGCAGCACCTCCCACGGCCTTCTGCCAGCCCTCCCTGGGCCCTGGTACACCCTGCTCCCATCCTGAGCTCAAAGAGCCCATGTCATACACTGTGCCCAATAAAGGCGCTGAACCCATCCCCTGGTGTCCCTACCCCCTGCCTTCCTCTCACCTCTTGGGCCTCTTGGAGGACACTCAGACCACTGACACACCACTGGCCAGGACTGGCTGCCCAGCCTCCTCATGGACACACTCTTGTCTTCAGTTCTTCCGCAGGGCACCCTCCACCTCTCCGGTGGCTTGCATGGATCTCCATCCTGTGGAGGACAGAAGATGGTGGGTGGACAGGACAGATTGTGGCCAGACATTTATTCATTTATTATGCGGTCGGGGGATTTTGTTCTCTTGGACTGCTAGGCCTTTCTCACCCTCAGGAGGCTCCTCATGGGATTATCGGCTCCTGGGGTAGGTAATCTCCTTGTTGTCAGGGATGCACAGGTCTGTGCATAGCCTAATGTCCTGGGCTGGGCTGCAGTTCACAGCTAGAGGCTTGCCTACGAGATCCTGCCCTGTGTCCCAACACAGCTCCGGAGACCTGGTGTCCAGGGATGGACCAGGCATGAGCTGAGCCAGGGCCCTCTGCTGGCAGGGGCCAGCCGGGCCTTACACCTCACGGCTCCAGGTGTCTGGCCACACAGCTCTTCGTGGGCTTCACGGTATTCTGTGTTGGTTGGCATCCAAAGTCCTCATTCTATTGTTTTCAAGACAGTGGGTAACTTTCTGTTGAGGTTCTTAGCAGGTGACATTAAGTGAAAGTTTTCCTTAACCAGTATTTTCAGCTGTTGTGAACTCTTTAGGAATCACAAGTCCCACTGGATCAGTAAAGGTGTATCCATCCCTTGAGGAGGCTCGGCCCGGAGGCAGGGGCGCCTGTGCCTGGTACAGTGTCCAGGCTGTGTAACACTGTCGCTGATTCTATAACCAGAACTCTGCCGTCCCATCTGTACCCGCCAGTCCCATTAGAAGCGAGATGGGTTGGACGCCTTGACCCCCAGCCTCCCTGCCTTTCCTCTCCAGACCAGATCCTCCTCCTCTCCCACACACCGTTTCTTCCAGTCCTCTGATAACTTCACTCCAGGGGACAGCCGGGCTGGGTGACCCTGCAGACTCCGCTCTGCTCTTTTCCTCAACTGCCCGGGGCAGGGCCATGCCCACAGCCCCCCTCTGAGCACAGGTGCCAGCTCCTGAGATCCGGAGGCTCAGGTGCGTCACAAAGGACAGCACACATCCCCAGGGGCCGAGGGGCTGACCCACAGCCAGCCCTGGCGGTCTCACTAGTGACCCCCCCCCGACCGCACGCAGCACCCATGCCCGCACTGTGGGAGGGCCAGCCTGGGAGCCTCATCACCCCTGACCCCCACATGAGTGCCAGCTCACCAGAGGTGCGGGCACACCAACAGAGGCTCGGCTGGTGGCCCTGGAGGAGCATGGCCTTGTCCACCTGGGGCAGCTCCTCCTGCCTCATCCACTCAGGGCAGGAGCAGGGGCCGGAGCACCAAGGCTAAGAGCTGCCCGCCGCAGCAGCGCCCCGGGAGGCACGCCAGCAGGGCCGCGTCCCGCCCTGGCTAGCAGCTCGCGGTGCCTGGGACAAGTTCAGGACCTGAGCCTGTGCCCTCACAGGCACAATGGACACCCTCAGGGCCGGCAGGGCAGGGCTGTCCTGGGCCTCACCAGCCAGCCCCATGCGGCTTCCGCTGCCACGCAGGCCGCTCGCGGGCCGGCTCATAGGGTGCGTTGTCCACGAGGCCGGCATGGGGCCTTGTGTTCTGATGGACAGCCCACACCCGGCCGGCCACACACCATGGACGTGGTTCTCACCACTGCGCACAAGTGAGGCTATCTCTCCAGAAACAAGGGAACTCGATTTTCTGATCAGCAAAATCTGTCCCAGAGATACTTAAGTTTTCTGCTTTGCTCAAGAATGTCGGGTTGAACGTGTGACTCTGCTGGCAGTGAGGGTAAAGCGTCACCGACAGGCAGCGAGTTCAAGTCCCATCTCATCTCCCACAGGGGCAAAGAAGAAGAATGCACCCCAAAATCATTCTCCCTTTTTGAGGGAGAGAGCTGGTAGTGGGGCTTGGCCTCAAGGCCGCAGCTTCTCACTTGGCTTTTTTGCTCAAAGCTGGTGTTATGCTGCTTGAGTCACATCTCTACCTCTGGCTTTTATTCCCCTGGTTAATTGGAGATGAGAGTTTCAGACTTTGGCTTTGAACAACTATCCTCAGATCTCAGCCTCCTGAGTAGCTAAGATTACAGATGTGAGCCACCGCATCTGACTCAAATCACGTTTTTAGTGTCCTGTGTTGTCCCATCACAAATACAACCCTTCCTCTGGGGCTTTCACGCAATGGTGCATCTGTGAGAACTGCTTGATTATTGGAACCTCTAAGCCAGAGGTGCGTCCAGCAGGGAGGCTGAGGGGATGGAGCTCCAGGAAGGACAAGGGTGGGCTGGAGCTGGGGCCCTGAGCGGCTCCATGCTGCCAGAGCAAGAGCCTTGCGCCCCAAGGTCTTCCACCCGCCAGGGCTCAGCCCTCAGTCGGTCACCCTAGGCCCTGACCAGAGCCTCCTGGGTCCCAAACACGCTGCATGGGGGACCCTGCAGCTCCGGCTGTCACCTCCACGCAAGGCCAGAGGCCTCTGTCCTCGCCCTCCTCCCAGCCCATGTTCTCAGCTCTGCCCAAACGCAAGCACAGTGCACAGGTTTGCCATGAACTTTACTGGAGGCCCCGGTGACAGAAGGTGGCCGTGTACCCACAGACATCAGACAGGCCCCCTCCCCCTCCCATTTTTGGCCCCAGCCCACACCATGCTGAGATCTGGGGCTGTGGGCAGATGGGGGTCACAGCTATGGACATCGGCCACTGTCACTCTCCACGTGCTGCCAGGCTGTCCAGCACCGACGCGGCCTGGGCCTGGGCTTCCTGCAGGAGGCTGGAGATGCGCTGGCGGATCTGACAGACACAGAGGGAGTGTCACCTGAGCCTGCCGGCAGATCTGACAGACAGGTATCACCTCTACCCTGCCATGGCCACGCTCCTGCCCCGAGACACTGCCCGCCCCCCAGCCTGCCCTCCCCGAGACACTGCCCGCCCCCCAGCCTGCCCTCCCCGAGACACTGCCCGCCCCCCAGCCTGCCCTCCCCGAGACACTGCCCGCCCCCCAGCCTGCCCTCCCCGAGACACTGCCCGCCCCCCAGCCTGCCCTCCCCGAGACACTGCCCGCCCCCCAGCCTGCCCTCCCCGAGACACTGCCCGCCCCCCAGCCTGCCCTCCCCGAGACACTGCCCGCCCCCCAGCCTGCCCTCCCCGAGACACTGCCCGCCCCCCAGCCTGCCCTCCCCGAGACACTGCCCGCCCCCCAGCCTGCCCTCCCCGAGACACTGCCCGCCCCCCAGCCTGCCCTCCCCGAGACACTGCCCGCCCCCCAGCCTGCCCTCCCCGAGACGCTGCCCGCCCCCCAGCCTGCCCTCCCCGAGACGCTGCCCGCCCCCCAGCCTGCCCTCCCCGAGACGCTGCCCGCCCCCCAGCCTGCCCTCCCCGAGACGCTGCCCGCCCCCCAGCCTGCCCTCCCCGAGACGCTGCCCGCCCCCCAGCCTGCCCTCCCCGAGACGCTGCCCGCCCCCCAGCCTGCCCTCCCCGAGACGCTGCCCGCCCCCCAGCCTGCCCTCCCCGAGACGCTGCCCGCCCCCCAGCCTGCCCTCCCCGAGACGCTGCCCGCCCCCCAGCCTGCCCTCCCCGAGATGCTGCCCACCCCACAGCTGCCCTGTGGGCCCGGCTTCCACAGCCACCTCCCTGCTGCCCGCCCCCAGGTAATGGGGTCATCAAAGCTGCTTCCGGCAGGCTTCTCGATGTGGACGAGAGCTCCGGGGACAGCGACCTTGCAGACTCCGCTCCGCTCTTCTTTCCTCAACTGGTCAGGGGAGGGACGTGCCCACCACCACGGCAGGACAGTGACACACAGCCCGGAAGAGACCCATTGCCACCACCCCATACTAGAATTAAGGTCCAGTAGAGAGATGCCACGGAACAGTGTCAGGGCTGGGGCTAGGCTTCCTTCAGTGGAATGAGAATATTCTGGAACATGTTAGAGGTAGTGGCCACACAAGGCTGTGTGTTAAATGCCACCAAACTGTGTGAGAGGCAGAAGTGGGGGTGTGGGGGGGACAGAGACCGAGGATTGAACCCAGGGCGTCAGGCCTGCTAGGAAACGCTCTAGCACTGAGCCAAGCCCCACTCAAGGCGCTGTGCTTCGGCCTGGTGGGCGTGTGTTCCGACGGTGCTGTGGAGACCACCGCTGTGGTTCCCGGCCTGACACGGCCAGGTCCTGCACGGTGCCACAGGCACAGGTTTGGTGCAATCTGTTCGGGTCTTTCTACCCGCTGCTCCTCAGGCCCAGTGCACAGACTTCCCCGGGGAAGGGGCTGGGCAGCTCCCAGAGAGCACTGACCCAAAGCCTTGCCCACCTCCAGCTGGCCTGCCCACGAGGGGGGACGCAAGCCTCTGAACCCTGCCTGTCCCAGGCCCAGTCTGCCCACCTGGCCCTTAAACGCATCATCTGTCACATCCTTCAGGTTGATAAGCACGTTGAAGTATGCACCAAAGACACCCATCTCCAAGGCTTTGGCTGCCACCTGGGGAAACACCAGGGAATGGAGCTGACTCTTGGATTCAGGACTGCCCAGACCAGAGACTTCGCCCCTCAGAAATCCACTGAGCAAGCAGCCTCAGCCAGGGCTCCACTAAGGGCCAGGTCAGGCCCCGATGGATGCCTTACCCTCACACCTGGGGGCCCTGCCACTGCCCCACACAGAGACCCAGCCTGACTTCTGAGCTGTGAGTGGAAACCTCTTAGCAGAGCAGATGTGGGCCCTGGGGCCTGTGCGCTGACAAACTGGAAGCAAGGCCACAGCCCAGAAGCAAAGCTGTCTCTCTGAGCTGCACCCTCTGTCCCCAAGGAAGTCCTCTGGGGACCGAGGGCCACTTCTCTGGGTCTGGGATGCACTACTGAAAGCTGTCGTTCTTCCTGCAAAGACCTGTGGGCATCGGGTCCAGGGTGGCTGCAGAAACAGAGCCGTGGTTCTGTCCTGGCCTGTCTACACAGGAGACATGGGGTGAATCCAGATGACTACTGGGACAGGGACAGGAAGAGGGAGGGGCGGCTGCCTGAAGTGTTGTTCAGCCAGGGGCTCTGGAGGCTCCCGGCCACCGGGCAGCTTGCAACAAGCCTCGGAGCAGCTGGCACCCAGCCCACGGAAGACAGAGGCTCCACACTGCAAGTTGGGCTCAAAACACAAACCAAAGGAGCCAGCCCAGCTGGAGAAGAAGGCCAAGGCCTCTACCAGAGGCCACCCGCGCCCCATGCACGTGTACCTGCAGATCTGACAGGCAGGCCAGATTCCCACACAGGGCCAGCTCCTGAAGCACCGGCCACAGCGAAGACACGGTCTCTGCCAGGGCAAGCGGCACAGATACTGCCTGCCTCAGCCCCTCCTGCAGGGCAGCCACGTGTCTGGAGGGAAAGAGTACTGCTATGAGCTGGGCTCTGGGAAGCCACGAGTGTGAAGGAGGAGGGTGCTGGTGTGAGCTGGGCTCTGGGAGGCCACGTGTCTGGAGGAGGAGGGTGCTGGTATGAGCCTGGCTCTGGGAGGCCACGTGTCTGGAGGAGGAGGGTGCTGGTGTGAGCCTGGCTCTGGGAGGCCACGTGTCTGGAGGAGGAGGGTGCTGGTGTGAGCCTGGCTCTGGGAGGCCACGTGTCTGGAGGAGGAGGGTGCTGGTGTGAGCCTGGCTCTGGGAGGCCACGTGTCTGGAGGAGGAGGGTGCTGTGTGAGCTGGGCTCTGGGGAGGCCGCGTGTGTGGAGGAGGAGGGTGCTGGTGTGAGCTGGGCTCTGGGAGGCCACGTGTGTGGAGGAGGAGGGTGCTGGTGTGAGCTGGGCTCTGGGAGGCCACGTGTGTGGAGGAGGAGGGTGCTGGTGTGAGCTGGGCTCTGGGAGGCCACGTGTGTGTGGAGGAGGAGGGTGCTGGTGTGAGCCTGGCTCTGGGAGGCCACGTGTCTGGAGGAGGAGGGTGCTGGTATGAGCTGGGCTCTGGGAGGCCGCGTGTCTGGAGGAGGAGGGTGCTGGTATGAGCTGGGCTCTGGGAGGCCGCGTGTCTGGAGGAGGAGGGTGCTGGTGTGAGCCTGGCTCTGGGGAGGCCACGTGTGTGGAGGACGGTGCTGGTGTGAGCTGGGCTCTGGGAGGCCACATGTGTAGAGGAGGAGGGTGCTGGTGTGAGCCTGGCTCTGGGAGGCCACGTGTCTGGAGGAGGAGGGTGCTGGTGTGAGCTGGGCTCTGGGAGGCCACGTGTGTGGAGGAGGGTGCTGGTGTGAGCTGGGCTCTGGGAGGCCACGTGTCTGGAGGAGGAGGGTGCTGGTGTGAGCTGGGCTCTGGGAGGCCACGTGTGTGTGGAGGAGGAGGGTGCTGGTGTGAGCCTGGCTCTGGGAGGCCACGTGTCTGGAGGAGGAGGGTGCTGGTGTAAGCCTGGCTCTGGGGAGGCCGCGTGTCTGGAGGAGGAGGGTGCTGGTATGAGCTGGGCTCTGGGAGGCCACGTGTCTGGAGGAGGAGGGTGCTGGTGTGAGCCTAGCTCTGGGGAGGCCACGTGTGTGGAGGAGGAGGGTGCTGGTGTGAGCTGGGCTCTGGGAGGCCACATGTGTGGAGGAGGAGGGTGCTGGTGTGAGCCTGGCTCTGGGAGGCCACGTGTCTGGAGGAGGAGGGTGCTGGTGTGAGCCTGGCTCTGGGAGGCCACGTGTCTGGAGGAGGGTGCTGGTGTGAGCTGGGCTCTGGGAGGCCACGTGTGTGGAGGAGGAGGGTGCTGGTGTGAGCCTGGCTCTGGGAGGCCACGTGTGTGGAGGAGGGTGCTGGTGTGAGCTGGGCTCTGGGAGGCCACGTGTCTGGAGGAGGAGGATGCTGGTGTGAGCTGGGCTCTGGGGAGGCCATGTGTCTGGAGGAGGAGGGTGCTGGTGTGAGCCAGGCTCTGGGAGGCCACGTGTCTGGGGGAGGAGGGTGCTGGTGTGAGCTGGGCTCTGGGAGGCCACGTGTCTGGGGGAGGAGGGTGCTGGTATAAGCCTGGCTCTGGGGAGGCCACATGTGTGGAGGAGGGTGCTGGTGTGAGCTGGGCTCTGGCAGGCCACGTGTCTGGAGGAGGAGGGTGCTGGTGTGAGCTGGGCTCTGGGGAGGCCACGTGTGTGGTGGAGGAGGGTGCTGGTGTGAGCTGGGCTCTGGGAGGCCACGTGTCTGGAGGAGGAGGGTGCTGGTGTGAGCCTGGCTCTGGGAGGCCACGTGTCTGGAGGAGGAGGGTGCTGGTGTGAGCCAGGCTCTGGGAGGCCACGTGTGTGTGGAGGAGGAGGGTGCTGGTGTGAGCTGGGCTCTGGGAGGCCACGTGTCTGGAGGAGGAGGGTGCGGCTGTAAGCTTGGCTCTGGGGAGGCCATGTGTCTGGAGGAGGGTGCGGCTGTAAGCCTGGCTCTGGGGAGGCCACGTGTCTGGAGGAGGAGGGTGCTGGTGTGAGCTGGGCTCTGGGAGGCCACGTGTCTGGAGGAGGGTGCTGGTGTAAGCCTGGCTCTGGGGAGGCCATGTGTCTGGCGGAGGGTGCGGCTGTAAGCCTGGCTCTGGGGAGGCCATGTGTCTGGAGGAGGGTGCGGCTGTAAGCCTGGCTCTGGGGAGGCCATGTGTCTGGAGGAGGAGGGTGCTGGTGTGAGCTGGGCTCTGGGAGGCCGCGTGTCTGGGGGAGGAGGGTGCTGGTGTGAGCTGGGCTCTGGGAGGCCACGTGTCTGGGGGAGGAGGGTGCTGGTGTGAGCCTGGCTCTGGGGAGGCCGCGTGTCTGGGGGAGGAGGGTGCTGGTGTGAGCTGGGCTCTGGGAGGCCACGTGTCTGGAGGAGGAGGTTGCTGGTGTGAGCCTGGCTCTGGGGAGGCCACGGGTGTGGAGGGGGAGGGTGCTGGTGTGAGCCTGGTTCTGGGGAGGCCACGGGTGTGGAGGGGGAGGGTGCTGGTGTGAGCCTGGCTCTGGGGAGGCTGCGTATCTGGAGGAGATTGCTGGAGGTAGCTGGGTGCAGGGCCCTCTGCCCCTGACTCCTCCCTGCAGGCTGAGCAGGCAGAACCTAAGCAGGATCGGGCACAGGTCCCTCGGTGCTTCTGTTGGGGCTGGGCCAGGGCATCAGCTCTCCTCCACCCAGGTTGCTCACCTGCTCCTCTCCTCAGGAGTGCTCCTGGGCAGCTTCATGGCCTCCTGACAGTACAAAGAACAAATAACACCTCACAGTGATCAGGGCTGTTCCCTGGGACACATGTCGGCAGCAGTGACAGGGTAGACAGTGACATGTCGGGGCAGACCACAGGGTAGGCCACAGGAAAGGCTACAGGGCAGACACGTTCTCTGGGGGGAAGAGCTTCTGAGATCTGTGCCGTACAGTTCTTGGCATCACCCCTTAGGGGACGGCCACACTGCGAAGTCAGAGACCCACAGGTGCCTGGGAGGACAGGCACTGGGTCCTGAGAGGAAGACTGAGGTCCAGGAGGTCTTCTGAATTCTGCCCAGGATCCCTCCCACAGATGCCACACCCTCCAGCACCCACAGCCATTTCAAACAACACATAAGCAGTGGCACGATGCCAAGAAGCCCAGAGGTTTTCCCTCTGCCCACCCTGTCCCCTTCTATCCCCACTGCCCACCCTCCGTCCTCTTCTGTCACCCTCTGCCCACCCTCCCTCCCCTCCTGTCCCCACTGCCCACCCTCCGTCCCCTCCTGTCCCCACTGCCCACCCTCCGTCCCCTCCTGTCCCCACTGCCCACCCTCCGTCCTCTTCTGTCACCCTCTGCCCACCCTCCGTCCCCTCCTGTCCCCACTGCCCACCCTCCGTCCCCTCCTGTCCCCACTGCCCACCCTCCGTCCCCTCCTGTCACCCTCTGCCCACCCTGTCCCCTTCTATCCCCACTGCCCACCCTCCGTCCTCTTCTGTCACCCTCTGCCCACCCTCCGTCCCCTCCTGTCCCCACTGTCCACCCTCCATCCCCTCCTGTCCCCTCTGCCCACCCTCCATCCCTCCTGTCCCCACAGCCCACCCTCCGTCCCCTCCTGTCCCCACTGCCCACCCTCCGTCCCCTCCTGTCACCCTCTGCCCACCCTGTCCCCTTCTATCCCCACTACCCACCCTCCGTCCTCTTCTGTCACCCTCTGCCCACCCTCCGTCCCCTCCTGTCCCCACTGTCCACCCTCCATCCCCTCCTGTCCCCTCTGCCCACCCTCCATCCCTCCTGTCCCCACAGCCCACCCTCCGTCCCCTCCTGTCCCCACTGCCCACCCTCCGTCCCCTCCTGTCCCCACTGCCCACCTTCCGTCCCCTCCTGTCCCCACTGCCCACCCTCCCTCCCCTCCTGTCCCCTCTGCCCACCCTCCGTCCTCTTCTGTCACCCTCTGCCCACCCTCCGTCCCCTCCTGTCCCCACTGCCCACCCTCCGTCCCGTCTAGGTCCATCTGGAAATCTTTCATGTACTTGGTAGGGTCCTTCTGTCATTGGGAACTCCAGCATGCACAGCAACGTGAACCAATTTCGGGTTCACATGTGGGTGTGGTTTGTGTGGTGGCCCCTCTGCGGCTCTTGGCCACACTATTTTGTGCTTTTCAGACACCTTTGGTGTTTATTTTCACCTTCTTCCCTGTCTTTTTTCATTTATCTACTTACTGTTCTCTCTACCTGTTCCCTAAATATTATGTCTTCAAATTAGTAACTAAGATTGTCCCTCAATTTACAGTTTAGCTCAAGGTGGATGCTGTGCTCAGTTCTTTCTGCCGGCCGGTGTCTCCCGTCCTCGGCTGCCACAGTGGAGCCGGTGTCCCTTCCCTTGGCCCTCCTGCAGCTCCTCTCCAGCGCACTGTCTCCCGCTGGCTGTTCATCTCCAGCTCTCCTTGACTTCCCTTGCGCAGGCAGAGCTCGTTTGGGGTCTCTCCTTCCTCCCTCTCTGGGTGGGGTGGCCTCTGGGTTCGGCACATCTCTGGGGAGGCTGGGGGCCCAGCTCTCCTCCCCCCCAGGCCCGACCCTCTCTTCTCCCCCCCAGCCCCCTAGCCTGGTCTCAGCCTCCCTGTCCCGGCCTCCCGTCGGGCCTCCCTGCGGGCTCGCGTGGCCCCCCGCGCGCGCTCACCAGGCAGCCGACAAAGGCCTGCGCGTCCTCGTCCACCAGCGCCGCCAGGCGCATGGAGGCCGCGTGGAAGGCGGGGATCAGGCGCCGCATGGTGGGGTCCAGGTGCTCGAACCGGCGCCGCCCGTAGGTCATCTGGGCCACCATGGAGCCCAGTGCCGTGCCCTGCGAGGCCGGGCCGTGGGCCACCTCCCCAAGTCACCTCCCCAAGTCACCTCCCCAAGTTCCCTCCCCAAGTTCCCTCCGGGTTCCCTCCCCGGGCCCCCTCCCCAAGTCCTCTCCCCGGACCCCCTCCCCGGGTTCCCTCCCCGGGCCCCCTCCCCGGGCCCCCTCCCCAAGTCCCCTCCCCAAGTCCCCTCCCCGGGCCCCCTCCCCGGGCCCCCTCCCCAAGTCCCCTCCCCAAGTCCCCTCCCCGGGCCCCCTCCCCGGGCCCCCTCCGCGGGTCCCCCCCTCCCGCACTCACCATGGCCGCCACAGTCGCCGCCACCGAGCCGCCCCCCGGGGCCGCAGAGCGTGCGCCCACCTCGCGGATGAAGGCGCGCAGGGACCCGTCCAGCAGGCTCCGCCCGGCGTCCTCGGGCACCAGGTACCTGCGGGGGGCGGGGCTCTGGGCCTGGGCGGGGCCGGGCTCTGGGCGGGGCTGGGGCGGGGCTCTGGGCCTGGGCGGGGCTCTGGGCCTGGGCGGGGGCGGGGCTCTGGGTGGGGCAGGGGCGGGACTCTGGGCCATGGCGGGGGCGGGGCTCTGGGCCAGGCAGGGCATGGCTCTGGGCCTGGGCGGGGTGGGGGCGTGGCTCTGGGCCTGGGAGGGGCGGGGCTCTGGGCCAGGCAGGGCGTGGCTCTGGGCCTGGGCGGGGTGGGGGCGTGGCTCTGGGCCTGGGAGGGGCGGGGCTCTGGGCCAGGCAGGGCGTGGCTCTGGGCCTGGGCGGGGTGGGGGCGTGGCTCTGGGCCTGGGAGGGGCGGGGCTCTGGGTCTGGGTGGGGCAGGGGCGGGGCTCTGGGCCACGGCGGGGGCGGGGCTCTGGGGCGGGGCGGGGCGGGGGCGGGGCTCTGGGCCAGGCAGGGCGTGGCTCTGGGCCTGGGCGGGGTGGGGGCGTGGCTCTGGGCCATGGCGGGGGCGGGGCTCTGGGCCAGGCAGGGCGTGGCTCTGGGCCTGGGGGGGGCGGGGGCGGGGCTCTGGGCCTGGGAGGGGCGGGGGCGGGAGGGGCGGGAGGGGCGGGAGGGGCCTCACTCGATGATTCTCTCCTTGGGGTTGAAGGGCGCCAGCGAGTCCAGGCCCAGCCTGTGGGTCACCTGGAGGAGAGGGTTCCCCTCAGCCCTGCCCGCGGCCCAGAGCCGGATTTGCCTCCTGGGGGGCTGCCACACCCCCTCCAGCTGCCCCAAGTGGCTCCTGAAAGACTGCACCCACAGGAAACAGGCCAGAGAGGGGCACGGCTGCGCAGCACAGGGTCTGGGAACCAGGCCCCGGCCGAGCGGGCCGGACCCCGTCTGGGGACTAGGTTCTGACTGTTAGTCAGTGTCTAAGAAGGCTGGGGTGACCGTTCACATTCGGGGTGAAATGCTGACACTCGTGTGACGGTGGCGCTGTTCCTTCCGAGACACTCCCCCAAGAGTGGACACTCTGGGCCAGAGCCCACAGAATGACCAGCAAGGGGCCCAGGGCCTCCCAGCACCGAAGAAAAGACCTCAGAGAGAGTTCCTCACCCGTGTCAACGCTGGCTGAGCCGGACAGGCCGTCAGAGGCCACTAATCCTGACTCTGGCTCTGTTTTAATAGAGTGGCCCTCCTGGCAGTCCTGTGGAGCGCCAGACCACAGACACAGGGGTGGCATGACTATGGACCGTGCGGCGCGCTGGACCGCAGACACAGGGGTGGCATGCTATGGATGAATTACACTGGCCGGAAGAAGGATCTTGGCAACTTCCCTGCCGCTGGGCTTCTTCAATCCCTTGACTGGCACAGCTCCCTATCTGGTGTTTCCAGGGCTGCAAGCACAAGGCTCAGCTTAAAGTACCCTCTGGGAGGATGGAGCCCCCAAGCACACAGCTGGAGCATAAGTCCCCTTTGGAGGAGAAGTAAACCCAGGATGCCAAGAACTGCTGCAGATACAATTCCAAAGAGCATGTGCTCAGAAATTGTGAAGCCAGGATTCGGAGTCCCAAGTGATAGGGTGCCAGCTGTGAGCAAAAGAAGCTGTGTTCAAGCCCTGTACCAGCGCATGTACACACACACACACACATTTGTGTACACATAGACACACACACACACACACACACACACACGCGCGAAGAGAATATTCTTGGAACTAAGGAAGGATAGTATCTACAAATCTACTAATCTAGAAAACACGTAGCTTAGTCAAAACCAAGACACATCTAGCAGGGATAAGAAGGCAGGCCCTGGAGTGGACATGTGTCTGGACTGAGCTGGCTGCGCTGCCCTCTCACCTCCCCAAGAGACCTTTGCTTCTTTTTTGTTCTTTTTTTGCCAGTCCTGGAGCTGGGCACTGATTTCAGGGCCTGGGCGCTGTCCCTGAGCTTCTTTTGTTCAAGGCTAGCACTCTACCACTGGAGCCACAGCACCACTGCTAGGTTTTTCTATGTGGTACTGAGGAATTAAACCCAGGGCTTCATGCATGCTAGGTAAGCACTCTACCACTGAGCCACCTTCCCAGCCCAGACCTTTGCTTCTGGAAGATGGAGAAGATGTGTCTGCATGCTCCCAGAGGAAAATAGGAGATTTGGAATCCAGTGATGCAGCCATTGTACCAAAAGGTATAGGAAGACATCCCCAAACATCCGAGCTACAGAGCAAAGCCCTGGGGCCCTCCACAGAGGCCTGTGGGCACAAGACATGCTTGGGCAGACTCAACAGGAAGGCTGTGGGATCACACACAGGCCTGCACAGTGTGGCTCTGTTTAGGGATGTGTTCAGAGAGAGTAGGAAGGTGAGAGTAACAACACGGCTCAACTCTGGAGCAGACTTCTGCTCACGCCAAGGTGTCGAATTCTTCCCCAAAGTCAGCCTTGACAGCAGGTGCTGAAGGTTTTGGTTGTTGTTGTTGTTTTGTCCGGTTGTGGGGCCTGAGCTCTGGGCCTGGCGCTGTCCCTCAGCTCTTCAGCTCAAGGCTAGCGCTCTACCACTTGAGCCACAGCGCCACTTCCGGCTTTTTTGTTATGTGGTGCTGAGGAATCGAACCCAGGGCCTCAGGCATGCAAGGCAAGCGCTCTACCACTGAGCCATCTTCCCAGCCCTCAAAAATATTTTTTAAAATCAGGAGACAAAGGAAAAAAGAGAAGAGTAAAATCTTCTCGTTTTCATAGCAGGTGATGAAAATGAAAATCGTGATTCCTACACGCAAGCCAGGGAAACGGGAGCTGGAGCTGGGTATGGGGAAGCTCTGCCCCCTGAGAGGGCCTCGCAGGGTTGAGCCCGGGCCGCTGAGGCCTGTTCCCAGAGCCCACAGCCCCGGAGATGGTGCCCAGATCCTTCCGGAGCCTACCCCACCCCCTGGGCCAGACTCACCAGCCTGATGCGCTGCTCCTCCTCCAGAACAAACAGGTTCTCCTTGTGACAGTAGAAGGCTGCAGTGTCCAGGAAGGCCTTCAGGGGCACCAGGCCCACTAGCTGTGAGCCCACCACCGGCAGGCTCAGCTCCTGCCAAGGCAGGTGTGGTGTCAGCCCGGGGGTGGGGGCGCAGGCTGGGTGTGGGCACCCACTCTGCCCACCTGAGCCTCTCTGCAGGTCTCCTCATAGACTGTGTGCAGGCCGGTGACCTCGAAGTCCAGAAGGTTTGTGGACACCTGAGCCAAGTTCTTCTCATCCAGGTACCAGCCGATGCCCTGGACCTTTTTCAAGCGTCCTGGCTGCAAAGGAATCGCGTTTCCCGGGTTGGAGAGGGAGGCCCGCCCCCGGGCCCTGCCCCAGCCTTCCAGGCACTGGGTATCGAGTGCCCCTCACGCATGCCTGGGCTCCCCAGTGCAGGGCAAGGGGGGGCAGCCTGACAGCGAGGCCCTTCTCTGGCCGGGGGCCGCTAGGGGAAGGCACCATGAGTGCCCACCCACCTGTGCCCTGGAGGTGCTGCTGGGGCCAGCAGGGTGCCAATTCCCCTTCTCCCAAGCCCCTTCCTCTCTGGCCCTCGCTTCTTGGTGCTAAGCCATGTGAGGGGCCCTGGACAGAGCCCCTGAGTGGGGAAGGACAAAGACTTGAGGGTCTCCTGCTCTGAGCGGCACACGGGCAGCTGCGTGTATCGCCGGGAAGCGGGGCTCCCGGGCTCCAAGGGTTAGGGACCGGAACCTGGGCACCCGGCCACCTGGGGCTGGAGACAGCTGCTCTGTCCTCAGGATGAATGCTGCTTTGGGCTGTTTTTGGTTTTGCTGGTACTTGGGCTCGAACCCTGGGCCTCTCATTCTTACTCTGCTTTTCCCTCACGTCTAGCATGCTACTACTTGGGCCACACCCCCGGTTCTAGCTCTGGTTCTTTGGGGACAGGAGTCTCTAAGATTTGTCTGCCCAGGCCGGCTTCAGACCTCAGCCTCCCGAGTGGCTTGGATTATAGGCATGAACCACTGACCTAGCAGTGCTGCACATGTTTAGTAGCAGGTTCTGGGCCTGCCTCTGTGGAAATGTCAGCCACAGCAAGTGCTCCTCACACCCTGACCCTGCTGGTGGGAGCCGGTCCTTAGTCAGAGGCCAAGCCGCCTGATGGCCGTGCTATGGAGACAGCTGACCCCTCCATACTGACTGGCTCCTCCCCGGTCTCAGCCCTACCCCCCCTCCATGAGCTGCTGTGGCTCCCAGAATAGGGGACGGGGGGAGGGGGAATGAGAACAAAGAAGCCCACGGCCACTTGCCTGGTCCTTCCCTCGGCCCTGCTCCCTCAGGTTGAGGGCGATGCGGTGGGCCTGCTCCTTGGTACTGAGCAGGTTGATGTTGAAGGCGATGAGGAATTTCCGAGCACCCGTGACCGTGGCTCCCCAGCTGGGGACGAAGGAGCTGGGGCCAAAGTCAGGGGCCCATTCTGCCTGCTTGAGCTGTGGGGCATTCCACAGGGTAAGGAGGGCCTGGGCACCAGGGCTGGGGGGAGGGCAGCCACCCACCCAGGCCCGGCCTTCTGAGGACAGTACCTTCTCAGGCAGACCCTCGTACTCCCCCGCCCGGATGTCTGGCAAGGTTCGACGACCAGCTGTCCGCGCTGCCTGGCCGTACAGGTACACTGCAAGGGTGCCAGCTGGTCAGGTCCCCGGTGAGGGAGAGCTGGTGTCCAGGGCCCCAGTCAGGCAGCTCCTCCAGCCTCAGCCAGGGGCAGACCACCCACCCTGCCCTGGGGAACGCCCCTTCTAGGCCTCAGGATGATATCAAGATTGCCATGGGCACGGCATGCGGCTCACACCCACCTGGCCGTGGTCAGGAGAACCCAGGTGTGGATGACCCTAACCGCAGCAGCCGGAACAAGACAAATACAGAGAAAACCCCTGCGAGCCCCACTGCAGTGCCTGCAGCATCAGAGGTCACCTTTGTGACGGAAGCATCCAGGCCTGGCCGGATACCGCCCTGTGCCGCCTGCCCTCCACCCTTGCTGTCCATACCTGCTTGACTAAGTTTATCTCCCAGAGTGCAACTGACCAATCTCACTGGACAGCTCACTGTACAGCTAACTGCCCTGCCCAGAAGCAGAGCCTGGAGTGGGCATAACTGTGTCCCGTGGTGAGTGGGCATAACTGTGTCCCGTGGTGAGTGGGCGTGGCTGTGTCCCGTGGTGAGTGGGCATGGCTGTGTCCCGTGGTGAGTGGCGTGGCTGTGTCCTGTGTCAGTGGGCGTGGCTGTGTCCTGTGTCAGTGGGCGTGGCTGTGTCCTGTGTCAGTGGGCGTGGCTGTGTCCCATGGTCAGTGGGCATGGATGTGTCCCGTGGTCGATGGGTGTGGTGTCCCGTGGTGGTTGTGCATGTGTCCTATGGTGAGTGGGTGTGGCTGTGTTCTGTGGTCTGTGGGTGTGGCTGTGTCCTGTGGTGAGTGGGTGGGGCTGTGTTCTGTGGTCTGTGGGCGTGGCTGTGTCCTGTGGTCAGTGGGCGTGGCTGTGTCTGAGAGATGGGATTACAGGCACATCCACCTCACGTGCCAGACCTGATCTTCTGAGAGATGTCAAGGGCAGAGAACAGGAAGGTGCTTCATGTCCCTGGAACCCCAGGGCCTCTCAGGGCACTCACCGGGCACATGCAGCTCCTCCGCCAGCCTCCGGCCGAAGGCCTGGGCACAGAGCACACACTCGTCCATGCTGACACCCCTCACTGGGATGAAGGGGCAGACATCCAGAGCCCCCATGCGAGGGTGCTCCCCTGTGGATACAGGGGAGGGACATGGAGGGTGCTCCCCTGCGGGCACACGGGAGGGACATAGAGGGTGCTCCCCTGTGGGCACAGGAGGGACATGGAGGGTGCTCCCCTGTGGGCACAGGAGAGGGACATGGAGGGTGCTCCCTGTGGGCACACAGAAGGGACATGGAGGGTGCTCCCCTGCGGGCACACAGGAGGGACATGGAGGGTGCTCCCTGTGGGCACAGGGGAGGGACATGGAGGGTGCTCCCTGTGGGCACACAGGAGGGACATGGAGGGTGCTCCCTGTGGGCACAGGAGGGACATGGAGGGTGCTCCCCTGTGGGCACAGGAGAGGGACATGGAGGGTGCTCCCTGTGGGCACACAGAAGGGACATGGAGGGTGCTCCCCTGCGGGCACACAGGAGGGACATGGAGGGTGCTCCCTGTGGGCACAGGGGAGGGACATGGAGGGTGCTCCCTGTGGGCACACAGGAGGGACATGGAGGGTGCTCCCTGTGGGCACACAGGAGGGACATGGAGGGTGCTCCCTGTGGGCACAGGGGAGGGACATGGAGGGTGCTCCCTGTGGGCACAGGAGAGGGACATGGAGGGTGCTCCCCTGTGGGCACAGGAGAGGGACATGGAGGGTGCTCCCCTGCGGGCACAGGAGGGACATGGAGGGTGCTCCCTGTGGGCACAGGGGAGGGACATGGAGGGTGCTCCCCTGTGGGCACAGGAGGGACATGGAGGGTGCTCCCCGTGGGCACAGGAGGGACATGGAGGGTGCTCCCTGTGGGCACACGGGAGGGACATGTAGGGTGCTCCCTGTGGGCACACGGGAGGGACATGGAGGGTGCTCCCCTCTGGGCACAGGGGAGGGACATGGAGGGTGCTCCCCTCTGGGCACAGGGGAGGGACATGGAGGGTGCTCCCCTGTGGGCACATGGGAGGGACATGGGGGTGCTCCCCTACGGGCACACGGGAGGGACATGGAGGGTGCTCCCTGTGGGCACAGGGGAGGGACATGGAGGGTGCTCCCCTCTGGGCACAGGGGAGGGACATGGAGGGTGCTCCCCTGTGGGCACATGGGAGGGACATGGGGGTGCTCCCCTACGGGCACACGGGAGGGACATGGAGGGTGCTCCCTGTGGGCACATGGGAGGGACATAGAGGGTACTCCCCTGTGGGCACAGGAGAGGGACATGGAGGGTGCTCCCCTGTGGGCACAGGAGGGACATGGAGGGTGCTCCCCTGCGGGCACACAGGAGGGACATGGAGGGTGCTCCCTGTGGGCACACAGGAGGGACATGGAGGGTGCTCCCTGTGGGCACAGGGGAGGGACATGGAGGGTGCTCCCTGTGGGCACGGGAGGGACATGGAGGGTGCTCCCTGTGGGCACACGGGAGGGACATGGAGGGTGCTCCCTGTGGGCACAGGAGAGGGACATGGAGGGTGCTCCCCTGTGGGCACAGGAGAGGGACATGGAGGGTGCTCCCCTGTGGGCACAGGAGGGACATGGAGGGTGCTCCCTGTAGGCACAGGGGAGGGACATGGAGGGTGCTCCCCTGTGGGCACAGGAGGGACATGGAGGGTGCTCCCCGTGGGCACAGGAGGGACATGGAGGGTGCTCCCTGTGGGCACACGGGAGGGACATGGAGGGTGCTCCCTGTGGGCACACGGGAGGGACATGGAGGGTGCTCCCCTCTGGGCACAGGGGAGGGACATGGAGGGTGCTCCCCTCTGGGCACAGGGGAGGGACATGGAGGGTGCTCCCCTGTGGGCACATGGGAGGGACATGGGGGTGCTCCCCTACGGGCACACGGGAGGGACATGGAGGGTGCTCCCTGTGGGCACAGGGGAGGGACATGGAGGGTGCTCCCTGTGGGCACAGGGGAGGGACATGGAGGGTGCTCCCTGTGGGCACAGGAGAGGGACATGGAGGGTGCTCCCTGTGGGCACAGGGGAGGGACATGGAGGGTGCTCCCCTGTGGGCACATGGGAGGAACATGGAGGGTGCTCCCCTGTCGGCACAGGAGAGGGACATGGAGGGTGCTCCCCGTGGGGCACACAGGAGACACATGGAGGGTGCTCCCCTGTGGGCACAGGGGAGGGACATAGAGGGTGCTCCCCTGTGGGCACACGGGAGGGACATGGAGGGTGCTCCCCTGTGGGCACAGGAGAGGGACATGGAGGGTGCTCCCCTGCGGGCACAGGAGGGACATGGAGGGTGCTCCCTGTGGGCACAGGAGAGGGACATGGAGGGTGCTCCCCATGGGGCACACAGGAGGGACATGGAGGGTGCTCCCCTGTGGGCACACAGGAGGGACATGGGAGGGTGCTCCCTGTGGGCACAGGAGAGGGACATGGAGGGTGCTCCCCTCTGGGCACAGGGGAGGGACATGGAGGGTGCTCCCCTGTGGGCACATGGGAGGGACATGGGGGTGCTCCCCTACGGGCACACGGGAGGGACATGGAGGGTGCTCCCTGTGGGCACAGGGGAGGGACATGGAGGGTGCTCCCCTGTGGGCACAGGGGAGGGACATGGAGGGTGCTCCCTGTGGGCACAGGGGAGGGACATGGAGGGTGCTCCCTGTGGGCACAGGAGAGGGACATGGAGGGTGCTCCCTGTGGGCACAGGGGAGGGACATGGAGGGTGCTCCCCTGTGGGCACATGGGAGGAACATGGAGGGTGCTCCCCTGTCGGCACAGGAGAGGGACATGGAGGGTGCTCCCCGTGGGGCACACAGGAGACACATGGAGGGTGCTCCCCTGTGGGCACAGGGGAGGGACATAGAGGGTGCTCCCCTGTGGGCACACGGGAGGGACATGGAGGGTGCTCCCCTGTGGGCACAGGAGAGGGACATGGAGGGTGCTCCCCTGCGGGCACAGGAGGGACATGGAGGGTGCTCCCTGTGGGCACAGGAGAGGGACATGGAGGGTGCTCCCCATGGGGCACACAGGAGGGACATGGAGGGTGCTCCCCTGTGGGCACACAGGAGGGACATGGGAGGGTGCTCCCTGTGGGCACAGGAGAGGGACATGGAGGGTGCTCCCCTGTGGGCACATGGGAGGGACATGGAGGGTGCTCCCTGTGGGCACAGGGGAGGGACATGGAGGGTGCTCCCCTGTGGGCACACGGGAGGGACATGGAGGGTGCTCCCTGTGGGCACAGGGGAGGGATATGGAGGGTGCTCCCTGTGGGCACACGGGAGGGACATGGAGGGTGCTCCCTGTGGGCACAGGAGAGGGACATGGAGGGTGCTCCCCTGTGGGCACAGGGGAGGGACATAGAGGGTGCTCCCCTGTGGGCACACGGGAGGGACATGGAGGGTGCTCCCCTGTGGGCACAGGAGAGGGACATGGAGGGTGCTCCCCTGCGGGCACAGGAGGGACATGGAGGGTGCTCCCTGTGGGCACAGGAGAGGGACATGGAGGGTGCTCCCCATGGGGCACACAGGAGGGACATGGAGGGTGCTCCCCTGTGGGCACACAGGAGGGACATGGGAGGGTGCTCCCTGTGGGCACAGGAGAGGGACATGGAGGGTGCTCCCCTGTGGGCACATGGGAGGGACATGGAGGGTGCTCCCTGTGGGCACAGGGGAGGGACATGGAGGGTGCTCCCCTGTGGGCACACGGGAGGGACATGGAGGGTGCTCCCTGTGGGCACAGGGGAGGGATATGGAGGGTACTCCCTGTGGGCACACGGGAGGGACATGGAGGGTGCTCCCTGTGGGCACAGGAGAGGGACATGGAGGGTGCTCCCCTGTGGGCACATGGGAGGGACATGGAGGGTGCTCCCTGTGGGTACAGGGGAGGGACGTAGAGGGTGCTCCCTGTGGGCACACAGGAGGGACATGGAGGGTGCTCCCCTGCGGGCACAGGGGAGGGACATGGAGGGTGCTCCCCTGCGGGCACAGGGGAGGGACATGGAGGGTGCTCCCCTGCGGGCACAGGGGAGGGACATGGAGGGTGCTCCCCTGCGGGCACAGGAGAGGGACATGGAAGGTGCTCCCCTGTGGGCACAGGAGAGGGACATGGAGGGTGCTCCCTGTGGGCACAGGGGAGGGACATGGAGGGTGCTCCCCTGTGGGCACAGGAGAGGGACATGGAGGGTGCTCCCCGTGGGGCACACAGGAGGGACATGGAGGGTGCTCCCCTGTCGGCACAGGGGAGGGACATGGAGGGTGCTCCCCTGTGGGCAAACCGGAGGGACATGGAGGGTGCTCCCCTGCGGGGCACATAGAGCGGAGGCTCGCTCGTGCATTCCCCCTTTCAGTCCCCAGTCTGTTCTCCATCATCCACACAGCTGGCTGCTTTGAGTACAGGGAAACGTCCAGTCACTAGCGGCAGCAGCAACTTTCCCCACAAACCTGCGGGATGCCAGAGATCCCAGGAAACACCCAAGCTGTCCCCATGGCCAGGAAGAGAGGCCCTAAGACCCTGAAGAGGCCGCCAGGCCTGAGCAAACTGGCGCCTCCGGGATGAACCTCTCTCTTTCCTCCAAGGACCAGTAACAGCCTGGCCCTCCGTGGCTGCTACCAGCTTTCTCAGCCTTCGCGGTGCGTCCCTGCCAGCCTGCCCGGCTCTGGGTCCCCTAGACTGGCCAGGCTGGAGGGGGGCGGGGTGTCTGTCCTGGGGGGAGTCTGTCCTGGGAGGGTTCTGTCCCGGGGTGGGGGGGGTTCTGCCCCAGGGGAGGGCTTCTCTCTGACAGCAGAGAATCCCTGCCACCACATTCAGACCTCGCTCTGCTGTGGTGGAGAAGCCCGTCTCTCGGCCCACAAACCCAGCTCTTCCTTCCCTTGGCAAAACTCTCATTTGCTTTCTGCTTTGACCCCATGACCCCCTCCCCACCCCACCTCCAGAGCACTGTGTCCACTGACCTTTGCCCCAGTGTTTGGTTTGGGGGAGCCTGACAGGCTGGTGTCCTGGGATAAGCAAGCCCCTGCAGGTCAGGACAGTGGGTGCCTGGCCCCTCCCAGGCAGCCAGGCTCACAGACCCAGCAGAGGAGCTGCAGGAAGACCAGGCCACACCCAGGGCGGCCCTAACCTGGACCCCAGCCCGACCTCAGCCCTGACCCCAGGACTGGAGGAGACGCCCCGGGGCAGCCTATCTGGAGCCATTTCCTCTCAAGACACGGGGACAGGACTCAGCCAGGGCAATGCCTGCCTCTCCCCAGGCCAGCCTTACCCTTGTGTCTGCTCATGTCGATGAGCCGCCAGGCCACGCGGGCTGCGCCAAGCGCCCCCTCCACCACGCACTCGGGCGGCCCCACGAAGGTGTAGACCGTGCGGTTGGTAGAAGGCCCCGCGTCCACATCCAGGAGCACACAGCCCGGCGTCTGGGCGATGGCCTGGGAGATGGCATCGATCACCTGGACAGGAACAGGCTGGTGCTAAGTCCCCTAGGGAGGGGAAGAGCTCCGGCCTGGCTGCAGGATCCAGGCTGGGGAGGGGTCCCCAGGGAGCCCACCCTCACACCATCACCTCCGGAGTCCTTCCCCCACTCCATCACCTCCAGAGTTCCTCCCCACATACCATCACCTCCACAGTCCCACCCCCCAACCATCACCTCCAGAGTCCCACCCCCAACCATCACCTCCAGAGTCCCACCCCCCACACCATCACCTCCACAGTCCCTCCCCCCACACCATCACCCCCACAGTCCCACCCCCTAACCATCACCTCCAGAGTCCCTCCCCCCAACCATCACCTCCAGAGTCCCACCCCCCACACCATCACCTCCAGAGTCCCACCCCCAACCATCACCTCCAGAGTCCCACCCCCCAACCATCACCTCCACAGTCCCACCCCCCAACCATCACCTCCAGAGTCCCACCCCCAACCATCACCTCCAGAGTCCCACCCCCCACACCATCACCTCCACAGTCCCTCCCCCCACACCATCACCCCCACAGTCCCACCCCCCAACCATCACCTCCAGAGTCCCACCCCCCAACCATCACCTCCACAGTCCCACCCCCCAACCATCACCTCCAGAGTCCCACCCCCCAACCATCACCTCCAGAGTCCCACCCCCCAACCATCACCTCCAGAGTCCCACCCCCAACCATCACCTCCAGAGTCCCTCCCCCCAACCATCACCTCCAGAGTCCCACCCCCAACCATCACCTCCAGAGTCCCTCCCCCCACGCCAAGCTCCCCTGGGAGCCAGAAGACAGGGCTGCATTGAGGGACCAGAAGGGACAAGTCCTGCCCCACCCCACAAGCTCCTCTGTCCTTACCCTGATACACCAAACTCTCACCTCCTCCACATCCTCACCTCCTCCATGTTCTCACCTCCTCCTCCACGCTCTCACCTCCTCCTCCACGCTCTCACCTCCTCCTCCTCCACGCTCTCACCTCCTCCACCACGCTCTCACCTCCTCCCCCACGCTCTCACCTCCTCCTCCACACTCTCACCTCCTCCACCACGCTCTCACCTCCTCCATGTTCTCACCTCCTCCTCCACGCTCTCACCTCCTCCTCCACGCTCTCACCTCCTCCACGCTCTCACCTCCCCCACGCTCTCACCTCCTCCACCACGCTCTCACCTCCTCCACCACGCTCTCACCTCCTCCATGTTCTCACCTCCTCCTCCACGCTCTCACCTCCTCCTCCACGCTCTCACCTCCTCCATGCTCTCACCTCCTCCACGCTCTCACCTCCTCCACGTTCTCACCTCCTCCTCCACGCTCTCACCTCCTCCTCCACGCTCTCACCTCCTCCACGCTCTCACCTCCTCCTCCACGCTCTCACCTCCTCCTCCACACTCTCACCTCCTCCACGCTCTCACCTCCTCCACCACGCTCTCACCTCCTCCCCCACGCTCTCACCTCCTCCTCCACACTCTCACCTCCTCCTCCACACTCTCACCTCCTCCACGTTCTCACCTCCTCCTCCACGCTCTCACCTCCTCCTCCACGCTCTCACCTCCTCCTCCACGCTCTCACCTCCACCACGCTCTCACCTCCTCCACGCTCTCACCTCCTCCTCCACGCTCTCACCTCCTCCTCCACACTCTCACCTCCTCCACGCTCTCACCTCCTCCACCACGCTCTCACCTCCTCCTCCACGCTCTCACCTCCTCCACCACGCTCTCACCTCCTCCTCCACGCTCTCACCTCCTCCCCCACGCTCTCACCTCCTCCTCCACGCTCTCACCTCCTCCTCCACGCTTTCACCTCCTCCTCCACGCTCTCACCTCCTCCTCCACGCTCTCACCTCCACCACGCTCTCACCTCCTCCCCCACGCTCTCACCTCCTCCTCCACGCTCTCACCTCCTCCTCCACGCTCTCACCTCCTCCACCACGCTCTCACCTCCTCCTCCACGCTCTCACCTCCTCCTCCACGCTCTCACCTCCTCCACGCTCTCACCTCCTCCTCCACGCTCTCACCTCCTCCCCCACGCTCTCACCTCCTCCCCCACGCTCTCACCTCCTCCTCCACGCTCTCACCTCCTCCTCCATGCTCTCACCTCCACCACGCTCTCACCTCCTCCACGCTCTCACCTCCTCCTCCACGCTCTCACCTCCTCCACGCTCTCATCTCCTCCTCCACACTCTCACCTCCTCCTCCACGCTCTCACCTCCTCCACGCTCTCACCTCCTCCTCCACGCTCTCACCTCCTCCCCCACGCTCTCACCTCCTCCCCCACGCTCTCACCTCCTCCTCCACGCTCTCACCTCCTCCTCCACGCTCTCACCTCCTCCCCCACGCTCTCACCTCCTCCCCCACGCTCTCACCTCCTCCTCCACGCTCTCACCTCCTTCTCCACGCTCTCACCTCCTCCACCACGCTCTCACCTCCTCCCCCACGCTCTCACCTCCTCCTCCACGCTCTCACCTCTGCCTCCACGCTCTCACCTCCTCCCCCACGCTCTCACCTCCTCCCCCACGCTCTCACCTCCTCCACGCTCTCACCTCCTCCTCCACGCTCTCACCTCCTCCACGCTCTCACCTCCTCCCCCACGCTCTCACCTCCTCCCCCACGCTCTCACCTCCTCCTCCACGCTCTCACCTCCACCACGCTCTCACCTCCTCCTCCATGCTCTCACCTCCTCCTCCACGCTCTCACCTCCTCCACGCTCTCACCTCCTCCTCCACGCTCTCACCTCCTCCACGCTCTCACCTCCTCCTCCACGCTCTCACCTCCTCCCCCACGCTCTCACCTCCTCCCCCACGCTCTCACCTCCTCCTCCACGCTCTCACCTCCTCCTCCATGCTCTCACCTCTGCCTCCACGCTCTCACCTCCTCCCCCACGCTCTCACCTCCTCCCCCACGCTCTCACCTCCTCCTCCACGCTCTCACCTCCACCACGCTCTCACCTCCTCCCCCACGCTCTCACCTCCTCCTCCACGCTCTCACCTCCTCCACGCTCTCACCTCCTCCTCCACGCTCTCACCTCCTCCACGCTCTCACCTCCTCCACCACGCTCTCACCTCCTCCCCCACGCTCTCACCTCCTCCCCCACGCTCTCACCTCCTCCCCCACGCTCTCACCTCCTCCTCCACGCTCTCACCTCCTCCTCCACGCTCTCACCTCCTCCACCACGCTCTCACCTCCTCCTCCACGCTCTCACCTCCTCCTCCATGCTCTCACCTCTGCCTCCACGCTCTCACCTCCTCCCCCACGCTCTCACCTCCTCCCCCACGCTCTCACCTCCTCCACGCTCTCACCTCCTCCTCCATGCTCTCACCTCCTCCTCCACGCTCTCACCTCCTCCACGCTCTCACCTCCTCCCCCACGCTCTCACCTCCTCCCCCACGCTCTCACCTCCTCCTCCACGCTCTCACCTCCTCCCCCACGCTCTCACCTCCTCCCCCACGCTCTCACCTCCTCCCCCACGCTCTCACCTCCTCCACGCTCTCACCTCCTCCCCCACGTTCTCACCTCCTCCTCCACGCTCTCACCTCCTCCACGCTCTCACCTCCTCCTCCATGCTCTCACCTCCTCCTCCACACTCTCACCTCCTCCACGCTCTCACCTCCTCCACGCTCTCACCTTCTCCATGCTCTCACCTCCTCCCCCATGCTCTCACCTCCTGGTTGTTCCCCTCTGAGAAGTTGGGGACACATTCCACTAGCTGGGTCATGGCCAGTGCCTTGCTCTGGACGTCCTCTGGAGGAACTGTGCAGGGATTCTGCGTGATTCTCCAGCAGCCAAAGTCCGTGGTGCTGCCCCAGGCTGGGCTTCTTATTAACCAGCCAGTCTGGGAGGAGTGAGCTCACTGAAGCAGGGCACAGCCCCCTTGGCAGGGGCTGAGGTCCCCAGAGGGCCGTACCAGGCCTGCGTGGCCCATGCCACCCACCCTGGAGGCTGAAGTCCAGAGGGAGGCTCCATGCAGGCTGGCCTGGGCTGCCAGGCAACCCCCTGGGTGACCCCAGCCCTCCGGTGCCCTCCACGTGGGTTTCTCGATCCCTGGGCAACCTTGGATTTGTGTCGCTTCTTCTACAGCTCTGGGCCTCAGGCCTGTGGTGAGGGAGAGGCTACAGCTGAGGTCCAGCATGGAGCCTGAGCTCAGACACACAGCGAGAACCAGAGTACAGGTGTGTGAGCACATGGGTGTTGTGTGAGGACATGTGCTGTGTGTGAGCATGGGAAGTGTGAGTGTGGTATGGGTGAATTGTGAGGTGTGAGTGTACAAGAGGGAGTGCACACAGGGCATGTGGGGTGTTGGTGCGAATGTGCTGTGAGAGTATACAGATGATGGTGTGTAGATGCTGAGTGTGTGAGAGAGGATGCTGGAAGGGGTGAATGCTGGGGTGTGGGAGTGGATCAGTGCTGTGTATCAGGAATTGGTGTGTGGATGAATGTCATTGGGTGTTGATGTGTGGGTGGATGCTAGTGAGGGTGTGGTGGGTGTCGGTCTTGGGGTGTGAGGTGTTAGTGTGTGGGTGGGTGTGAGCATTGGTATGAAGATCCATATTGGAGGATAGGTCTGACACATGCGGATGTTGGCGTGTGTTGGTGTGGATGTTGGGGTGTATGCTATGTGTGGATGTTGGCATGTTGGTGTGTGGATGTTGGGACATGTGTGTTGATATGCATGGATGTTGGGGTATGTATTGATATGTGTAGATGTTGGGGCGTGTGTTGATATGTGTGGGTGTTGGCATATATTGGTGTGGGTGTATGTGGATGTTGGTATGTGTAAGTGCTGGTGTGTGTTGGTGTATATGTTGGGGGCTGTTAATATGTGTGGACATTGGTATGTGTGTGGATGCTGGTGTGTGTTGATGTGTGTGTGTGTGTATTGGTGTGGATGTTGGGGATGTTGATATGTGTGGGTGCTGATGTGTGTTGATGTGGATGTTGGGGTATGTTTGTTGATGTATATGTGTGTATGTGTGTGTGTTGATGTGGATGTTGGGGCATGTGTGTTGATATGTGTGGATGTTGGGGCATGTGGGTTGATATGTGTGGATGATGGGGCATGTTTGTTGATATGTGTGTATGTGTGTGTGTTGGTGTGGATGTTGGGGGTCTGTTGATATGAATGGGTGTTAGTGTGGGGTGGATGCGGTATAGGGAAGGTGATGCATGCTAGCATGGGTGGATACTGATGTGTGGGTGTGGGTGTGAGAGCTGTGTGGGTACTGGATGGTGTGAGTGGGTTCGCTGCTGTGGATACAGTCTGCTGTGTGCAGTGTGCTCCCCAAGGCAGGCAGGTGAAGATACCGCAGCTCTTCCCACTACTGCTCCAGAGGCTGAGGCCCCTGGAAAGCTCCCCAGCCCCAGGTGAATTGGGAAGTCAGGCCTGGACTCTGAGCTCCTGGGCTCCGGGCTCCTGGGCTCCAAGTTCCTGGGCTCCTGGGTTCCTGAGCTCCTAGGCTCCTGGGCTCCTGGGCTCCAGGCTCCTGGTTTCCTGGGCTCCTAGGCTCTGAGCTCCTGGGCTCCGGGCTCCTGTGCTCCTGGGCTCTGGGCTCCAGGATCCTGGGCTCCTAGGCTCTGGGCTCCTGGGCTCTGGGCTCCAAGCTCCTGGGCTCTGGGGTCCAGAGCTCCGGGCTCCTGGGCTCCTGGGCTCTGGGCTCCTAGGCTCCTGGGCTCTGAGCTCCTGGATTCCAAGCTCCTGGGCTCCAGGGCTCCTGGGCTCTGGGCTCCAAGCTCCTAGGCTCTGGGGTCCGGAGCTCCAGGCTCCTAGGCTCCTGGGCTCTGGGCTCCTAGGCTCCGAGCTCCTGGGTTCCAATCTCCTGGGCTCATGGGCTCTGGGCTCCTGGGCTCCAAGCTCTGGGGCTCCTGGGTTCCTGGGATCCAGGCTCCTGGGCTCTGGGCTCCTGGCTCCTGGGCTCCAAGCTCCTGGGCTCTTGGGTTCTGGGCTCCTGTGCTCTTGGCTCTTAGGCTCTGAGCTCTTGGGCTCTGGCCTCCGGGCTCCTGGGCTCCAAGCTCCTGGGCTCCTGGACACTGGGCTCCTGGGCTCCTGGACACTAGGCTCTGGGCCCCTGGGCTCCTGGCTCTGGGGCTCCAGGCTCATGGGCTCTGGGCTCCGGGGCTCCAGGCTCCTGGGCTCCAGGCTCCTGGGCTCCAAGCTCCTGGGCTCCTAGGCTCTGGGCTCTGGGCTCCTAGGCCCTGGCCTACTAGGCTCTGGGCTCCAGGCTCCTGGGCTCTAGGCTCCAGGCTCCTGGGCTCTGGGGCCCAGGCCGGGCTCCTGGGCTCTGGGGTCCAGAGCTCCAGGCTCCTGGGCTCCTGGACTCTGGGCTCCTAGGCTCCTGGGCTCCGGGCTTCTGGGCTCCTAGGCTCCAGGCTCCTGGGCTCTGGGCTCCTAGGCTCCGGGTTCCTGGGCTCTGGGCTCCGGGCTCCAAGTTCCGGGGCTCCTGGGCTCTGGGCTCCTGGGTTCCAAGCTCCTGGGCTCCTGGGCTCTGGGCTCCTATGCTCTGGGCTCCTGGGCTCCGAGGTCCTGGGCCCCTGAGTTCCTGGGCTCTGGCCTCCTGGCCTCTGGGCTCTGGGATCCTGGCTCTGGGCTCCAGGCTCTGGGGCTCTAGGCTCCTGGACTCCGAGCTCCTGGGCTCTAAGCTCCTAGGCTCCGAGCTCCTGAGCTCCGGGCTCCAGGGCTCAGAGCTCCTGGGCTCTGAGCTCCTGGGCTTCAGGCTTCTGGCCTCTGGGCTCCAGGGCTCCGGACTCTGGGGCTCCGAGCTCCTGGGCTCTGGGGCTCCAAGTTTTTGGGCTCTGGACTCCGGGGCTCCTGGGCTCCGGGGCTCTGGGCTTGTGGGCTCAAGGCTTCTGGGCTCCTGGGCTCTGGGCTCCTGGGCTTTGAACTCCTGGGCTCCAGGCTCTTGGCTCCAGGTTCTGAGCTCCTGGGATACAATCTCCTGGGCTCCAGGCTCCTGAGCTCCAGTCTCCCAGGCTCTGGGTTTGGAGCTCCTGGGTTCCAGGCTCCTGAGCTCCAATCTCCTGGGCTCCAAGTTCTTGGGCTCTGGGCTCCAAGCTAATGGCTCCAAATCCAGGCTCCAGGAGCCAGGCTCTTGGCTCAAGGTACCAGGATCATCTCTTGTCCTCATGTAGGGTTCATCTTGTTTTGTTTTGTCTTGTGTTGGTCCTGGGGCTGGAATCCAGGGCGTGGGCACTGTCTCTTAGCATTTTCCACTAGAGGCTGGCACTCTACCACTTGAGCTACAGCTCCACTGTCTGCTGGGTACCTGGGCATAGTCTCACGGGTTCTCCTGCTGGGTGGCTGAGTGCTCAGTGCTCAGATCTCAGCCTTCTGAGTAGCTAGGGTCCGAGGCGTGAGCCACCAGCCTGGCCCTCTTATAATTTTTAGGGATTTTAGTCAGGGGTCAGCAAGGATCCCCAGACCACAGTGTCCCCGCTGCATCTCCACTCCCTCCAGCACCCAGAGTCTGCAGGACAGCAGGGGCTGAGGCCACAGCACCCACAGCAGGGTCGTGGTAGGCGTCAGGCCTGGGTGAGGAGATGCATGTGGGCCTCTCCCTTCCTGTACTACTCAGGGAGACCAAGAGGAGGAGGGGCTATGTGGGAAGACAGAGAGAAACAGACAGGGCTATGTGTCTGGAAGCTGGGAGGAAGGAGGGGCTCTTGTGGACCACGTTTGCTCCCCAAAATTTCACTTAGTGAAGCCTTACCCTCCCAGACTTCAAGATGTGTGCACACTCAGAGATGGACGGGGTCTCTGAAGAAGTGGTCTCGTTAAAATGAGGTCACTGGGGTGAGTCTGGATCCCCTACAACCACCCTGTGGGGACTCGGGAGATCTAGGAGGAGACCCTTGATCCTGACCTATAACCTCTAGAGGCCGCGCAGCTCCCTAGCCTGGCCTCTGCCCAGGGAAACCGTGGGTGCCGCAGCGTGGATGCATGTTAACTGGCAGCATCTCTGCAACCAGAAGCCAGGCCAGCGAGTGGCTGACCTTGTAACTCGGGGCTGGAGCTCGAGTATCACCCAAGGTTGCCGTTGAGGTCTCCGGGTGGACAGTGCAGAAGTGAGGCCTCCTGAGGACTCTGATCCCGTGGGAAGCGTGGGGGGACCTGGTTGGAGGTAGCTGGGGAGGTTTGAGGTCTATCTGTCCCAGTCCCTCACATACCCAGCTGTGCCCACCATGCACTGTCCTCCCCTACACAGTGCTCTGCCTCACCAGAAACAAAGGGGCCAGCACCTCTGAAACTGTAACCCAAGCAAGCCTTTCCTCTTCCTGGTTCATGTTTCCCTCCGGTGTTTTGTCACAGCAATGGAAAATGGCCAACACAGGGATGCCATGCCAAGACCAACAGCCTACATTCTCAGAGCTTAGAGCACTGTCTTGTCCATTTAATTAATCATTCCTATTTCCTATTGTTTATGAGAAAAACCTCATGAAGGTCATACTATCAATGACTTAGGGCTAGGCAGGGAGCTGGGAAACCTGACATCTAAAATCACTGCCTTGGAAGCTGGTGGGAAATCATACATGCTGGACTGCTGCTGACAGATGGGCTATGACACATAACTGCTTAAAAACTGTGCAAGCCGGGTGCCAGTGTCTAGCGCCTGTCATCCCAGCTACTCAGGAGGCTGAGATCTGAGGATCGCGGTTCAAAGCCAGCCCAGGCAGGAAAGTCCATGAGACTCTTATCTCCAATAAACCACTAGAAAACCAGAAGTGTTGCTGTGGCTCCAACGGTAGAGAGCTTGCCTTGAGCTGAAGAGCTGAGA